CTCCTCCTCCTCCTCCTCCTCCTCCTCCTCCTCCTCCTCCCCCCCATTCCATTTCCCATCCCCAAGGCTGCCTGAAACAATGACATCTCAGAAATAACTTGGCTTGGTGGCTGCCATTGAAACCTGCTCCGTGCATTGCATTGCCATAGTAACTCAGACCTGACAGTTAGTGCACATTGAAGAATTAAATCCGTGCTGTTCGCTCCCAAAGCATCTGCAGTGATATTTTTAATGTTTTCAAAAGACGCCCAGAAGCGCCCGTTAATATTCAAGGCTAACCGTTCTTCCCATTCGTTCAGATCGTGAGGTAATGCTAGTGCAGCTAGTTCTCTATATACAACTATCCATTTAACGACCGAGTGAAAAAAAGTGACGTATCCCCAGTCCTCACACTTTACAACTGTCTCAGCAACCACAAGGTCATTTGATCAGAATTCGGGAGTTTGTCAACCGGAGTATATTTACGTATTTGGGGTGTGTGATTCCCATTTGCGACCTATACCAGCTGGCTCTGACAAGCAGAGTCATTGGGAGAAAACTAGAATGACTTAGCAGCCATGTTGATTCCCTTAACGGCAGAGGTTTGAGTAATGACCGTGGACAAAATGTCATAAAATGAGTCACAACTCTCTTAATGATTGTCTTAACTCCTTAATGATGCCTTTTTTGAACTAAAAGAAGGAGAAAGAGAAATGATATTATGGGTATAAAAGGGGAAAAGATAAATTACCTCAGTTGCGGTCAAATTGGAATTTGGGTATTACTAAAGATAAAATAATTAAGGAGGAGATGAAAGAAATGTTAATTAGAGATATTACGTGGCCCAAGTTAAAAGCAGCAATAGAAAACCAAAAGAACAATAAAACCCCAGGACCCGACGGGATACCAGGGGAACTTTATTAAAAAAAAAGGGGGAACAAATAAGACCTCTTATGGTGGAAGTATATAATGAGGTCCTACTTGCAGCAAGAATGCCGGATTCATGGAAAGAGACATTGATATCGTTGATTCCGAAAGATTCAGATTCACGACATATACAAAATTAAAGACCTGTTAAATACTGATTAAATACTGTTAAATACTGATTATAAAATATTTACTACAATTATAGCAAATAGATTGAAAACAATATTGAATGAATATATACATAAAGATCAATTTTGATCTTTATGTATATATTTATTCAATATTTTTTTCAATCTATTTGCTATAATTGTAGTAAATGAGCTTTGCCCCATTTTGCGACCTTTCTTGCAACGGTTGTTAAGGGAATCGTTGCTGTTGTTAAATTAGGCACAAGGTTGTTCAGGGAATCTGGCTGCACCATTGACTTTGCTCGTCAGAAGGTCGCAAAAAGGGGACACTGCAACCATCACAAATCTGGGTCAGTTGCTGAATTTTGATCCCGTCACCGTGGGGCTGCTGTGAAGGTCGTAAGTGTGAAAAACATCCTAAGTCATTTTTTTCAGTGCCGTTGTAATTTTGAACGGTCACTAAATGAACTTGTTGCTAAGTCCAGGATTATCTGTACTACATTTAAAAACAAAACAAAAGGGAACTCCCCACGGTCACTGTATGAATGGTCGTAAGTCGAGAACTGCTTGTGTTTTATCTCCTGTTTCTCATTCTCTCTCTTTTTTTTTTCAATTTACAGGGGATCTCCTGCAAAAACCTTACATCTCTGGCTGCGCGGATGGCACATCGTTTGAGCTGACGGGGACGGAAGATTACGTCCTCCTTGCCTGCGATGGGTTCTTCGATGCCATCCAGCCGGGCGAGGTGGTGGACCACGTCTTGGAGCACTTGACGCAAAACCACGGAGACGGCCTTCAGACTGCAGAGAGGCTGGTGGCCGCAGCGAAGGAGAGCGGTTCTACCGACAACATCACCGTCCTGGTGCTGTTTCTACGTGAGCCCAAAGACATTGTGGCCGACTGTCTCAGAGACCCCAAAGCCAGCCCTGTGGATGAGGGCGCACCGGGTTCCTTCTTCAGCTTCTTCAACTCTGGAGCAAATAACTAAAAGAGAGTCTGCCTTAAAAGCCACATCTGCAACTCTGCCAAAGCCCGTCGTCCAGATGCAAGTTTTTTTTTTTTTTAAATCAGCTCTTCTACGTCGGAAAAACAAATACGGCGCCTGGAATGGACGCCGGGATATGACATTGGAAAAGAAAACCCATCCAGCTGCTCCTTAGCCCAGGGCCGTGCATGGGGTCAGTGGTGGGATTCTACCAGTTGTTGAATGGGCATAGCATTCAAAAACTGCCAATTTACAGCTCTAAAATTGACCTACTGCAGCGCCGGTGAGTAAAACAGCTGAGGCACGGCAACGTCCTATATTTTCCTGCAAAACAGGAAAATATAGGACAGGCTAAGGCAGGGGCGGGGCCAACAGATTGTCGTTCATTACAGGTTCGTGCAAACTGGTGCAAACCGATAGCAATGCTCCCCCTGCATGGGGTGGTATAATATCAGACTCTACAGCTGGAGAAAGGGTAGAACAGAAGCACCAACCTTCTCTTGAAGACCTCATCAGGAGGAGAAAGGGCAGACTTTAAATGTCTTGCCAACGTGGTTTTCCACAGAGAAGGGAGGGGGTTTGAGCAGAGAAGGTGTCGGTCAGGCCGAAGTGATAATATAGCTCAAGCATATCATAAAAAATAAATAAATAGGGTGCAGATGGGCTGGAGGTTGAAGGCCTTCTTGAGAAGTTCCAATGCCCTCCCAAGATCCCTTCTGACTCTTGTTTTGTTATCTCGGACGAGAGCCCAAAGTATGTTTTAATCGAGGAGGTGTCGTTGGAAACTGCTTAAATCGCATTGGGGGTCTTTTGGAAATGAACCATTGAATAAGCTATGGCTTGTTTGCGCCAAGAAATTCAGTATTAAGTTTGGGATTGGGCCGTCCGCCATCTTGTTCTGCGTCTTGTGTTTGTGCTTTTGTATACCAAAGAGAATACTAGCCAAGAATGTCAGCTGCAAGATTTAAGAAAATGAAGATAGATAAGTGATAAGAATCTACTGCCTCCCTTTCCTATCCCCAATTATTTAATATGTCAAACCTGTATCAAACTCATATATGGTCATATAGTATCCATAAGCTAAGCTGAGATAACCTAAGTTACTGTTAAATTGCCAAACATGGGGTTTTTTGTGTGGGTAATTGTCACCTGTGTCTTTTTAAAAAAATTTAACTGTTTTTATTATTTCTCTGCTCACCTGTATGTTCAGCCTTTTTTAAAAAAAATAATTTCCCAGAGGGTTTATTTTAATCAGTTTTTTAGATGTGCGCATTTACTGTTATTTTATCACTGGTATTTTGAAATGGGCTGCTGACAGATGTCATTTACCTGCTGACGAAGAAGTAGAATACAGGTTGCTCTTGACTTAACAACCACAATTGAGGGCAACATTCCTGTTGCTAAGCGAGACAATTGTGAAATGAGTTTTATGAGCCTTTCTTACCACCGTCATTAGGTGAATTGCTGCAAGTTAAGTTAAGCTAGGGACACGGTTGTTAAATGAATCTTGCTGTCCCATGGACTTTGCTTGCCAGACGGTTGCAAAAAGGGATCATCCTAGGACATTGCAACTGTCATAAACATGAGTCAGTTGCCAAGCTTCTGAATTTTGATCAAACCATTTTGCTGCAATGGTCATAAGCGTGAAAAACGGTCGTAAGTCACTTTTTTCGGTGCCGTTGTAATTTTGAACGGTCACTAAATTGAATTGTTGTAAATCGAGGACTACCTGTGTTGTGTTTCACTTTTATAGGAGTTTATTTCAGATGTTTAAAAAAAAGCTGCTCAAACCCTCAAGGCAATTTTAAAACCTATGCCGAGATCTCTAGAATTCAGGAACACTTTTCCCTGTTTAAAGGGAGGCTGGGAATGACTGGAACTTTTCCAAAACACAAGAGGCTTTGAGTTAAATGAAACAATCTGCTTGTTTCTTTTGGTCAGGCGCTGTTCCAGGAAAGCATATTTTTTTTGAAGCTTAAACCAAAAGCGGTGCTAGATCTAAATAGGTTTAAACTTGAATCTGACGATAAAGGAAAATAAAAAAAAAACTTTGGTTACAAAGACCAACAGAAAAACAACTAGGGTAGAATCTTTCAGAATCTGTTGTTATGCTATAATTTCCTTTTTTCCTTATTATTATGTTGTGAAGTTGCAGAGAAACCTAGCTAGAATTGGTGTTTTTTTCTCTCTCTACAACATCCAGCTCTTATGCGATCTGAATCAGGGTTAAACCTCAACTCCTCCCTTATGTCAACTCGTAAAATATTTCTGTGGTCTTTGTAGAGTTGCCAACAGAAAGGAAGGGAGGGAAAAGGGTTTGAAAGAGCAGTGCGGCAGCTTGGAAATCAAAAGTGAATTCCATACATGGTTTTTCAGAGATAGTAACTAGGTAGACTGAAGGTTGTGCCATGCAAATATCTTACTGGAGAATATGATTGATGGCTTTTGGCTATGGATGTGTCCCATTGGAGAATATGAATTACGATATACCCAGGGAGTGGAGGGAAAAAACAGGGTCAAGAATGACAATGAATGATGTGTCTCAGAGTTGGCTACACCCCAGGCAGTGCCGGACATGTTAACTCCTAATAAATCCTTTTGAAGTTTTGGAAGTTTGGCTCGAGACTCCTGATTTAATTGGGGGAACTGCCAAAATCCTGACAGCTAGCCAACTCTGAGACACTTAATTCATTGTCACCTTTGACCCTGGTTTTCCCCCACCCTTCTGGGTGTATCATAATTCATAATCCTGACACCTTAATCCATGTAAGTTGCAATTCCAGGTTCATTAGCTAATGCAGGTAATCCTCTACTTAACGACCGCAAGGGAGTATCCGAAATTTCCACGGCTAAGCAAGGGGCCGTTGTTAAGGGAGTTTCACCCCCTTTTGCGACCTGTCTTGATAGGCGCTAACTGAATCTGTGCAGTTGTTAAATTAGTCACACGGCGGTTCAGCGAATAGGGCTTGCCCATCGATTTTGCTTGTCAAAAGGTCGCAAAAGAGGGTGGTGTGACACACACACACATACACAGAGGGATGCTGCAACCGTCATAAATACGAGTCAGTTTGCCAAGCGTCCAAATTTTAATCCCATGATCCCGGGGATGGTGCAATGACCTTAAGTTAGAAAAATGGTCTTATGTCATTCTCTTCAATAGCCTTGTAATTTCGAACCGTCGCTAAACGAACGGCTGTATGCTGAGAACTAGCTTTAGAGCCAATTGCTCAGCAGTGGTATTCTCCAAAGCACCTGAGGGCAGGACAAAGAAGCAACGGGTGGAAACCAATCAAGGAGAGAAGCAACTTAGAACTAAGGAGGAATTTCCTGACAGTGAGAACAATTAACCAGTGGAACAACTTGCCACCAGAAGCTGTAAATGCTCCAACACTGGAAGTTTTTAAGAAGAGATTGGATAACAATGTGTCTGAAATGGTATAGAGCTTCCTATCTGAGCAGGGGGGCTGGACTAGAAGACCTCCAAAGTCCCTTTCCAGCTCTATTCTGATTGATTGATACTGATAAATTGTCTCTTTAAGACTGGGATGAGAAGTTACAAATCCGTATGTCTGAACCGTTGACGTTTAGACTTATTTTCCCTGTGGTGGAGAAAGAAAGAAAGAAAGAAAAATTAGCCATGCTCATTCTTTCCCGAACCTTCCAAGAAACTACAGAACGGACCAGAAATCTGATAAACGAGGAGAAAGGTTGCAGAGATGCTTCTCCCTGCTTGCTAATCGGGTTGACAGAAAGAGCAAGCGCCGTTTTTAGAAACAATGGGAGGAGGTGGTGATTTTTAAGTAAGTCCACCCTCTTGACAGTGGTAATGGAGGGTGAGGGAGGAATGAGAAAGCGCTTAGGAATTATTAGTGCCTGGAGGAAGGAAGGGAAAGCTACAGACGCCTGCTTCTTTTCGAAAAGAATGCATAGTTCTGGATCATGGCTAGCGGACCCTCCGAGAGAGATGAACAGAGTTGGAAGGGACCCTGTAGGTCATTTAGTCCAACCCCCGCCTCCTAAGCGGGAAACCTTGCACCGTTTCTGACAGATTGCACTCCAGGCACTTCTTGAAAGCTTCCAGTGATGAAGCTCCCACAACTTCCGAAGGCAACTTCCGTTCCAGCAGTAATGCTTCAAGACCACCTGAAGGATTGGCACAGCTGTATAAAGCGTTAGTGAGACCACGCTTAGAATACGGCATCCAAGTTTTGGTCCCCATATGATAGAAAAAGAGGTTGAGACTGGGAAGAGTTTAGAAAAGGGCCACGAAAGGTGATAAAGGGAGCTGGAGGCTAAAGAACGGTTGTAGGAATCGGGTGCGTTTAGTCTACTGAGAAGAAGGACTAGGGTGACATGATAGCGGTCTTCCAATATTTGAGGGGCTGCCCCAAAGAAGCGGGAGTCAAGCTATTGAGGGCAGGGCAAGAAACAATGGACAGAAAATAACCTAGAGCTAAGGAGAAATTTCCTAACAGTGAGGATACTTTATCAATGGAACGAGTAGCCTTCAGAAATTGTGGGTGGTCCATCACTGGAGGCTTTTAAGAAGAGACTTTGACTGCCCCTTGTCTGGCATGGTATGGGCGTCTCCTGATTAAGCAGGGGGTTAGACTAGAAGACCTCTAAGGTCCCTTCCAACCATATTATTCCATGCTCTATCATTACATGGGTAAATTAATATAAATTATGATAAATTGGAGTGGGTGGTCCATCACCGGAGGCTTTTAAGAAGAGACTTTGACTGCCCCTGGTCTGGCATGGTATGGGCGTCTCCTGATTAAGCAGGGGGTTAGAGTAGAAGACCTCTAAGGTGCCTTTCAACTCTTGCTATTCTGTAGAGAGAAAAAGAATGGATCCGAATTTCTTTTGGGTGGGTTGGTTCCTTGGTTGATTGTTCCTGTATCGTTTCTCTTCCTTGGCAGGTAACCGTCTGCCTTACACACCTGCTGTTGAAGTGAAACGTTCCCCAGATGGCTGGGATTTGACAGACCTTGACAGGAATGAATGACTTGATTGTTTTGAGCAGAACTGGCAGCTCGGGATGGTTAATTACAACATCGGGTTTAATAATTGACACTTAATAGAGCTCAAAAAGTAAGGCGGCGTGTTCTGCCTTCCCCTTTTAAATGTGCTGCCAGCAATTGGAATCTTTATTATAAGAGCTCTGCAGCTTTGCAGAAGAGCCTAGGTAGGAATGGACTTTGGTCTTGGTCTCAGATTGGTCTTCTGGTAGAATTAAGATCGTGTGTAGTGTTGATACCGCTTTATAATGCCTTGGTAAGGCCACACTTGGGATCCTGCATCCAGTTTTGGTTGCTGCGATGTAAAAAAAAAGGATGTTGAGACTCTAGAAAGAGTGCAGAGAAGAGCAACCAGGATGATGAGGGGACTGGAGGTTAAAACATATAAAGAACGGTTGCAGGAATTGGGTATGGCTAGTTTGATGAAAAGAAGGACTAGGGAAGACCTGATAGTAGTCTTCCAATATCTCAAGGGCTGCCCCAAAGAAGAGGGAGTCAAGCTATTCTCCAACGCATCTGAAGGCAGGACAAGAAACAACGGATGGAAACTAATCAAGGAGAGAAGCAACCTAGAATTAATAAATTTCCTGACAGTTAGAACAATTAATCAGTGGAACAATTTGTCTCCAGAAATTGTGAATTCTCCCACACTGGAAGGTTTTAAGAAGAGATTGGATAACCATTTGTCTGAAGTGGTGTAAGGTTTCCTGCCTAAGCAGAGGGTTGGACTAGAAGACCTCCAAGGTCCCGTCCAACTCTGTTATTCTATTCTAAATTCATGCTTGTGGTTCCTTAGAACAATACTGGTTTTCGTCGTACAAGGCAAGTGAGATTATGTAGGGACAAGTGTCTCCTCTGCGGAATCGGAGGGGAATTGATGTTTTGAGAAATGCAGTCTTCGTTCTTTCAATCAGAGTGACCTTGGTCTGACTCCGATCTTGCATGGAAACTATTCTTGAATAAGTTTCCGCCAGAACAAAGTCATGCTTGCTTTGTGGCTCATTGGCAAGGTGCTTTCAGAATGGCTGCAGATGTTGGGTGAACTTCATTCATTTATGCAGGCAGGTGAAGTTCCACCTGTCCTTCCGGAATGAGACGAGTGCATATTGTTCTTGGAGGGTTCTTTTGAGGTGGCCAGGTGTCGGTTTCCAGAACCAGAGAGAAAGCCTGTGGTTCGACAACGGGATTGTCATGTAGTCCACGTTGTGCTGTCCATCTTCCTCCCAAGGAATCAGAATAAGAGCGAGGAACTTCTACCAATCAAGGAGAATATTTGCAGCTCAGGGTTGAAATGAGAGGTCCTTGGTGCTCTCTGAGCTTGGTTGCTTCCTTGCAGACGTTTCGTGACCCAAATTAGGTAACATCATCAGTGTTAGAAGGGAGTGGGCTTTGTAGAGAGGAGGAGCAGGAAGAAGAGGAGGAGGAGGAGGAGGCCTGTGGGATCGTTGGTGCTTGCTGTCTGAACTTGGTTGTTTGTTTGCAGACTAGGACTTGGGCTAGATGACCTACAAGGTCCCTTCCAACTCTGATTATCTGTTATCTGTTAACATTTCA